GCCGTTGGCCCAGAAGATCCATAGAATACATGCAAGTTCCTATCCGTCGGTACGTACTGCAATGCCAAAGCTTCTGTGGTTGCTAATTATAACTGATTAGGTACTCATATGCGCTCTTTGCTTGACTAATCGTGAATGATCATGATCTGAAGAGCTTGAGAGCCTGGGCTCCATGGGTTCGTCCACTCAGTCAATCAACTATAGCTACTCTAGTTCCGTACCTACAATTTACCCGTACTGGAAATCAAAATCCAAAGTACGAACATCAGCTACATGTACATACTGGACTTATGAAAAATGCCTTGTTATTCAGCCCATATTTTATGTAAGGCGCGGTCAACCGGGGGGTTACGTTCTGCCTACTAGTAGATTCAGCTCCAGATGGATATCGATTGGCAGAAGACCTATCGTGGCTTGTACTCGCCGCAGTAGTATAAGCCTCATTGATAATTCTAGAAAATAAGAATTAAAAACAATTGTACAACAGAAATGAATTATCTCTTTATCGTTCATTGCTCATGGGAATATGCTTGGATAGAACGTCTTTTATGCAATTTTCATAGGGGGTGAGACTCTCGCTTAACATATACTTTTAACTTCCTCATCAACATGCTATTGATCTGCCAACCTAAGTAATTCGCTCCCCTGCCGATACAACAACAACCAACCTCTCGTCGACGACTGACAGAATTAAGATACGGGTCTCTATTATTGTCGATTAAGCCGCACAAACAAAAAAAAAAGTACTCTTCCTTTTTGGCACTTAAAAAATTTGGGAGCATAAGTGATTAATTTGTTTCTAACATGTTCTTCCAATTATAGACATTATAAACAAGATGCCGCGCCCCTTCAAATGGGCCGAATACTTCAATAAAGACGCCGCACTCCAGAATCGCTCCAACAAATATCAAGTGTCATGTGTACGCTGTCATAAAAAGATCCCAAAGGGCCGTTCGGAAGAGCGGACTCGTCATCTCGTCGATGAGTGCACAGGTCTGACACCAGAGGAACGGGAGCAAATAATCCGGGTTGAAGCGAAAGAAGCCGAAGCCGCCGCGGCGGGAACTCCGAAGCCAAGGACTGGGAAGACCTCCAAAGGCGGGGGAGTAGGAGGTGGAGGGGGAGGAACAGGGCTTGGGGAGACCGAGATTGAGGAACTCCTTAGGCTCGCGAGATTGCATTCAGTAGAAGGCGGGAGCCAAGAGGGGTGGCAAGGCATCACAGAAGAGTATAACAACTGGGCTGAAAGTAACGGCTTTAAAACCCGTACAAGTGACGCGTTACAGAAACAATGGTATGCAAAATATATCATAGATAACCAAAAGAAAAACTGCGACTGATGTAGCACAGGGATTCACGCGTCGCCAGTAATAGTAATAGTAACAACCGCCTCCAAGGGCCAGCAAACTTCTCATGGGACGTTACAGAGACCCGGGTCATCCCTTGGGAAATCGGTGCGCTCGGCGCCTTTGATGAGGACGAAGGCGGCGATACCACCACTGACCACGACGCCCTTGCAACAGACCTCGGTGGAGATGGCGGTGGTCCATCATCAGGCTATAATATTCCCCCCCCTCCTCCACGCTTTGACCCCGAACTATCTGCACTTCGCGATACCACTCCGCCGGCAAATCTGTCGCCGCCGCAATCCACAAACTCTAGCCAAAGGCGGCAGTATCGCCAAACAGAATATTCATCACGCCCTCCTCCTCCACCACCGCCACCCCAACCCCAACCCACAGCTAAGGAGCCAATGATGAGTATCACTGACCCGCGGTCATCGTCATCATTGATCGAGCTACTGCAATATGAGAACACGCAGAAGGAGAAACGGATCGAAAGGCTGGAGGTACGGGAAGATAGGCTGCAGGAGAAGATTGATAGGCTGGAAGGCAGGAACAGGAAGTTAGAGGAACAAAATAGGAAGCTTGAAAGTCAAAACCAGGTGCTGAAGATGCGGTTTATGATTGCCGAAGGCAGCGGTGCTGCAGGTGCGAAGAGAAAGAGGGGGGACTTCCTGATGACAGATCTTCAGGACGTTGTGGAGAGTCAAGTGTAGACATAGAGGTCGAGGGTGATGGAGATGACTAGCGTGTAAAAGATTTAGAGACACTGAGGTTTCACCATAATTGATTATTGAAAATGTCGCTTGTGGTCCAGTTTTCTTCTTGTCATATTATTGTTTTGATTTTTGCATTCACAGCTCCCTTCTCGGACGGGGTAATGATTTTGAGAGTGTATAAGTTTCTTATTATAACGTCGCATTACCAGATATCGTAAACATAAGCGAGGATATTTCAGGGCTGCAATTATTGGCAATACGTTAAATAATAAACAACTGTCATAATAGACTAGTTAGGCAGATACACATTCCAACAAGGGTCAATTCAACTGTTTTGCCGCTGGCCATGGCTATGAAATATCATATGATATATATACGAAACGCGCGCAAGAAGCCGATATAAGCACAGATAGCATGCACATCGCAATCATAGCCAACGAGTAAAAGGTAATGATGTGCACTGCTGAGGAGTTTTACCAGGTACAAATAAACAAGCATGTGTGGTAATTCCAAATGATCACATAGGATGTAGGTACGTACGTGCAGCTGATCTATTTTATTGGCAGTATAGTTAATTCCGGCTACGTATATTCAATTGGCCGACGCACACGCCCGACCAGGGTGATCTTTAGCCCCCAGAGCTGATCTGAAAGAAGCGAGATTGATCGGCCTTTAGCTACATGTAGACCTTGCAATTGAACTAGTACATATTAGATAAAACGTTGGTATTGTACTTAGATGACAGCTACGAACCCCAATTGAAGGGGTGGAATTTTCCCTAACCACATGTACATGTAGACCCTGAGATAGGTACCAGCTAGGTTTAATTGTCAATATTAAGTTATTGTGATGCCTGTTTAGTCACATCATCACCACCGATATCGTCATGATGGTTAACTTAATAGCTGGTATATACGTATACAAAATAAACGCACCTGAGTAGAATATTCTATCATTCATCACCGTGCACGGATGTAGAAAGAGTCAATAATCATTGCTGCAAGGCTGGTGTTTTCTATATAGTCACGAGATATGCCTTAATTATAACTTTAGGTTAATTTCTACAGCCGTGTTATGGTGTATTTTCATTTTGTGGTAAGTATTGATTCATGCTAGCTCAATGGAGTTGATTCGTACAGTACGTTGATGATCATGGTCGAAGCTTCATAGAACACTTTGAGAGAGATAGGCCGCGGCTGACAATCAAGACGATTGCACAGTTGAATCCAAGGGCGCCCGGACCACTCCAGCCAGCCGGTGAGTGTTCCGGCGTTGTCAGTCAGAATCGATAGCCTCTCTACCAATATTGCATACTATACTATACAATCACTCAGCTTGCAGCTCATGCTCGTAATTAAGGTCTGTGTTTATCCGGTTTAATCATCTACATATTATCTTTATGCAGGGTATACAGCGTCTAGTACTTCCATACCAATGCCAGCTACGATAAATGGATTGGTGCCCCCGGGGGGGGGGGGGGGGGTTGCCGCTACTTTGAGGGTTCTACCAGGACCTGGTCCGGCTCCTGGAAAGTGCAAGCCTGGAATTCTTTGAGAACTCTTTCTCCGGATAGCTAGCTGACTGATGTAGTTGTTTTCCACAGCAGACTAAAGGGAGACCGGCTAACCAGTGATGGAGAATTACACTCCTCCCTAGGTGTCAAGCATGAATTCGAAACCTTAGCCAATGATCATACGTTACCGTTTAACTTTCTTGTCTCTCAGATGTATACGTGCACGTATCGCGTTTACAATTTATCGGTGATTTAAATTTGTTCTATCGTATTTTTCGCCGTTTCACCCCACCTGTGAAGACATGAACCGAGCGCCTCTATGTGGATCATGGATACATTGTACTACGGCGTTAATTTTACGCTACACGCGCGCAGCTGATCTACATGCGTGTGTCTAAGTCTGCCGCGGGAAAACTGATGATTCTAGTTCTACGTACAATTGTATAGACAACATAACACAAGTGCTCATCTTGCTGTTCGTCTTCTTTTACCTTCATTTCCCGAAAACACGCACATCATGCATATGTCTAAGCTCTTCTCGCTCCCATGCTCTTGTACCTACATATGCGATCGCAATAGCTGCATATAAGCTTAGAGCCTCTTAGCTTATGATCAGTCTGCCCTACACGAGCTAGTTCTAAGCTGGACGAATTACTGAGGGTCACGATTAAGCTTTCGGGGCTGAAAGGTAACAGCCACCACCTGAGGAGGTACTCGGCTAGTTATGTTTAAGTAAAGTATGTACATGCTCAAGGATACCCTAACCCAGTGCGCAGTGCAACGAGTACTTCGCGTGTTACATCTCTAGATCACTTCCTCTCTTCACAATTCCTACTAGGAATTTCCTCGCAGACAACTGGAATTAACAACCATTTTTCAGCACGTTTCCGCTCAAAAATATCTATTCACAGCTTTGTTCTAACCTTCTAGTCTCTATTTCACTGAGAGTCGACTAGTCAGTAGTGTCATAGACTTTAAGGGACCCAGGGGCATGATTTACCTTATCATTTCATTACTCTTAATTTGTCCTATGCCTTATGATTCTAGGGAGAGGTTAGCAGATATGGCTAGTGGTAGGTGCGCACAAAGCCCTTTTCCTTTTCCTCCCTGAATACGCTAATTTTTGCGTTTCTTTCGAACCTTAGGAGTTGATAGTTCATGTGCGCTATATCCTTAGTCCTATCATGATGAGTACGGTTGGGAACATCAATATACTTTTAACAGATGGCGATGACTATTATATTCAGATGATAGCGCTCGAGATCTCTCTATATCTTCTCTCAGCGTCCCCCTCGACGGAACCCACCATCCTCAGCTCACTATCAGCGTCTTCCACAAGCACCATTCAATTACTATCATCATATCTCTCCAGAACGAAACCAAGCTTTGCTTATAAACTGTAAATTTCCAAACATACTCATAAATATGGTAGTAGACCTGATTGAAGAACTCAACATTCAAGAACCCTGCTAACACTCAATTCTTCTAGCTCAACACAAGAATTACCCGTTTTCAAGATGTCCAGAACGTCTCTGGCAGCGTCACACCCCGTAGCCAGCGTGAGCAGACCGCAGACTCCCCAAACACAATTCGAAGCAGAAGCAACACCCCTCAGGCAGCACGGGCACCTGTACAACCAAGTGACTCGGATTCGTTTTGGGTATGCTGTGGTGGGAACGGCGGCGGCTGTCCTGCAAATGGCACCTACTTAGCCGCCCTCCACGAAGAGTGTTTGGAGTGCCAGCATCGCAGATGCGGTGGCTGCATGATTCTCGACGTTCAAGCGCAAGCTGGCGACATGGTCCTTTAAGACCTACCTTCGTTTTTAGAGTCTATATATACATACATACCACACTTGGCAATATATACACACGGATTGGAGTGGTTTGGAGCAAGGGTATAAGGACTAAATTGTTTGATCGGGTGGGTAGTTTGGGATATACGCATTATAGAGATTTTTGATAGATTGTTAGGGCTAGGCAGGGTAAGCCCTAGAAAGACGCATATTTGGGCCCCTGTATTATCATTTTCTTTTCATACGCGTACAACAATTTGGGGGCTTTTGTTTTAGACTTCTTTTAGAGACTGAGCAGGTTGGGTTTATGTTCTGGCGCGCGATGGGGGGGGGAGGAGCTTTTGTTTTTGAAGAACGTTTGTTGCGAGTTTTGAGCTTAGCTATGGGGTGGGATAGCACATGCATGGTTACAATATAATGTTATATCGATTTATCAAGAAAAGGGAAATAATAATCCTGTACTAGTGGTGTGGCATAAACTGAACATCATTTAACAGATTTCTCGCACTTTGTAATCACTCTACACTAGATGTAGTGAATGGTATAAGAAAAACTCAATATGCCTTGATCTACAGGGTGGCTATGCTATTTTCAAAGCGGGGAAAATAAGACCGGGCGATGCGGACATGTGATCTTTTTTTACATATAATAAAAGGTTGATAATCCCTACAACATACGTAGTTAAAGATGCCGTCCTACAGCGCCTATAGAATCTACTAGTTTACAACACAATTATTGATAAGTCTCCAGTAGATAGTGTGGATCTAACTGTAAACACTGACAACAGTCAAGTAATTAGACAGCTTTAGAATCAAACTGAATTTGTGAGGGCACGATACTCCACTACCCTTGCGGTCGATCGTGGATCGAGGCTCTGTACTTTTGAGCCAGTTGGTGTCGAGCATCCAATTGCATGTAATACATATCGTCCCAAGCCTGAGAACGTTTGAACGTCTTACTCACTTGACCTGAGAACAGAGTGTTATAAAACTGACATTGGTTAGCTATAGGAAGACAGCCCAGTTAGATCCATATTACACGTTTAGCTTATAGCGCCGGGGACCAAGCCGGTGTCCGGGCAGCTCCTTAGCCACGAATTCATCGTCTCTCCTCGCTTTGACCCTCCTCACTTCAACCATCGGCCAGATAGCGGTGATGCTTGGAGGATATATGGGGTGTATAACGTGAATATACGCTGGGAACCAAACGGAGTCTTGCCGTGGAGTACTCAGTATATATATAACTGTATATACCAACCTATGAAAGCACGAGGCGCTTCATAATAGCCATGTACCAGTGTCGACGGGGAGACGTCTCGTGTAGTATCAAAAGGTCCTTTGAAACGTGTTCCTTTTTTGCACATTGTCATCGATAAATATAAAGAAAAATATAGCTCAAAGGCTTTAGAACACCTAGTCGAATGTCCATGCTACCTCACGAGGCTGAAAGACAGAGCCAGTTTGTTGAGATAGACATTGGAAGGGTACTTATCATACAGTATCGTTCCCAGCCTTTCTCGAGGTGACTTTTAGTTACATCCTAATAAAATAAGATCTTCGGATGAGTTGCACGGGCCTGAATATTGTACCCGCCATCTGTTTATCCACTCGCTACTGCTCCGTTGGTCGATCTCTAAGAGTCATTGATAGATTCGAAGGTTTAGATGCATGCTATTAGATGGTCTAGGATTGAGGCGATACGGTTTCCCAAAGCGACAATGGAATTTATCGTGCCATTTTTCCAAAACGTGTTCATGTAAGTTTGGAAGCATTGCCAAACAAATCTTGCAGTATATATCTCGCGAGGATATATGTTGTTGTTGCGACTTTTATGTCAGCTAGCCTAGTCTTAATCACGAGTTTTATATCCCACGTTGCTCATATGCATGACGTTGTATTAGCCAGGGTCGGATGGGAGGGACCAGGCATCTCTGATTAAGATCCCGTCCATGGCCATAGAAAAACACTCTCTTTCAAAACAAAGGTTAGCATCAACCCCATACCCAACCATATCTCATCTCTTTAAACGTGTCCTCACCTGTTATTCTAGTCTTCTTATAGCTTTCATTCAATCGGAAACAATATCGAACCTTCAAGTACTTTCAACCCAGCGCCAAAGTACCTATCTCGAGGCTATGCCAGTCATAATATCCGCATGGTACTTTTCTCGGGGGTTGAAATATAGTGAGCCTTGGAATAGGGTATGAGGCCTAGATTTGTATGTCAATGCCGTGCAATCACAATGATAGGGCCATGGTCTATATTATTAACGCTGCATGCCAAAAGGTTATTACCGTACGCGCGTGAACAGTCAACAACTCTCAACACTGAAAACTCTTCTGTGGATGGATATATGTGATTAGCAGCCGTTGCGTGCTTTAAATAAAAGTCTTTTCTGACTTACCTAGTCTAATTAAGGCTTAGACCATTTCGCTGGATCCCGTATATATGCATAATTCAACGTCAACGTACGCCCTAGGTCCATGGAGGTGTGAAGGACATGGGCGGTGAGCGGAGATCAGTCTGCATCAAGGGTTTAACCCTTTCTCCGCCTTCATTCCTGGTCATTCTCGCGTTTAGCTCATTGATAGTGCGAACACTACCGAGAATCAAGGGAGATACATAATTAAGGAGTAAAAATGCTCGCCTCGGAGATACGAACTTGGGGAACTTCTAGATGTACGTCTGGAAGTCCTGCCACCACGGACTAGAACGACACTTGCTCGTACGTGTGGGCACAGAAGTTCTTCTGGACCTGTGGCGATTTACACCCCCAATTGATTACCGCAAAAAGTGGAAATGGCAGCCCGGGCTCGATGATTCGGGGGGTGGCTTAGTATTAGGGGGCTGCAAGATAAAATCTTGGGGGAGGTTTAGTCAGCAACCAGTATAGACTAGTATGATGTTCAAGTTTGACAAGTTACAAGGAGGCCGGGCCATATATATGGTGGGCAGGATAATCCAGGAGGCAGTCATTTCCAATTATTCAGTACTACCTGTACAGATAACGATATACACCCAAAGTACTCACATCCAAATCTGGCGGTGTTTCTGGTTTGAGCCGGCGCGGTTAACTTCGTAAAGTTAATATCTCTAGCTGGCTGTACTGCATATATGTGAAAAATACAGTACTCAGATGACTTTATTCTCCCTCTTTTATCAACCATGTCTGAGAAGTAAGTATGAACTCTCAGCTCAGTACAGATAATCCGTTTATCTTCTCGAGCTCATGATGTAATATATATATGGTCTCTTAAATTCGATAACTCGAGAAGCTCGAAGATAAATTAATAAAATCTCACTAGACCATCGGGACTTTTATGATTAATATAATTATATCTGCCATCATATAGGTTAGCTTTTCACAACAAGGAGGATAGGTCCTTACTACGTTGATCTCTTGGAATAAGTCCATAGCGATAGTATCAATGGAAATTTGTTGTAACGAAGCGCCCAATTGCAAGGCTTGAATATCAAGTTGTCGCCTCGCAAAATGATGTGAGAGTAGCACAGATGAATACTGTTGGTATCTAAAGTATGATGACCTCCCAAAGTCCTTGGAAGTAGCTTAACTCCTTGTTGGCTTAGTGTTCAAACGTACATCAGTGCAGCCTTGACATATGATCCCGTAAGCAAGAAAAGCTGCTGCGGCCTCAAGCTTGTGAGATCGACGGTGAAGTAAGAAGGAAAAAAAAGGGGGGGTGTATAGTAATAAGTTCGCCTCATATAACCACTGGTCCTGAGCCTTATATGCGCGCTTTTCTCAATAACGCTCTAGATAATTGTTCGTAAGATTGTGCGTAGAAATGACTGAACGCCGTCCCCCAAAGCGGCCGGCGTTGAAACATTTTAAGGCTTTACCACATGATTTCCAACGCCGAAGCCAAACAGTCTTCAAATATATATAGGAGATGGAACGTCCTTGGAAGTATTTTGATACTCCATCTCAATCATACCATATCATCTAAGTTAAAAAGAAGCTGCTACTTTAGTCAATTATATCGTTTTCATCCACCATTACTCAAGTCCCTCAAAATTCAACCTAAAGCCACAATCGAAAACAATTCAAGGGTTACCACTCAGCTTATTCCTCTAAAGAATACTCCAGTCCAACTCCTTCAAAGAAAAGAACAAGAAAATCGTCATCTACCCAAATCTTCGAAGATGTGCCAAAACAACCTTCCATCAGGATCAACGATTGTTCCTGCGCACGTCGACGAACAGTTTCATGACGAAACGCAATTCCAAAATCCTTCTACCACGAGCCCTTCGAGGCTGTCTCTCTCCTGGAGTTTGGGACAGGGGATAATACAAGTTCCCGCCTGGAGAATATGGTATTGTCATGAGTGCGCTCCTGAGGAGGGTGCGGGTCCATACCTTATAGCCCACACGGTTTCTTGCCTAGTATGCGGCCATCGTCCTTGTCCTGATTGCCCAAAAGAGTACTAGTAGTGTTGTGATGATATATTATATTAAGTACTGTTTGGGGGAATTGAAACGTTTAAAATGGATTGTGGCGCTGGGGAGAAATGTTGAAAATGGATTGTGGCGCTAGAGAAAAAATGTTTCCTTTCTTTAAATTACTTGTATCATCTTATCTGTCTCTTTCTTTTCCTTGTTAGTTAATTAAGACGGTTCTCAAAGAAATTTACCTACTTTCCCCTCCAATCCAAGACATATGACCGATACCAGAAGCTAAAACCACCATATCATTATATTGAGTCGACGATCTTTATATTTGGATATATAGTGCCTTGCAATTGGCTAAAGTATTGTTGCATTGCGTTTTTTCTAAAAGTGACAATGATAGTACAGTCGCACCCCGCTATGCCGGATGCCAAGAATCAGACAATTCCCATACGGGATAGCAAATTGGTTTTGCAGTAAGAGAATTAAAATCCCAGAAGACTTCGTACGGGACAGCAAGGGATCCGGGATATTGAGATCCGGTATAGTGAGATGCGACTGTACCATATCCGAAAGGTCGCACATATATGTGCATTTGATGAATCATGCGCGATCAGCCAGCCAATCAAGTTAATGGAATTGACCAGCCAAAGCTTAACCTCTATACATAGACGTCCGCGATAGACCAGAAGAGGGAAGATAATGCCATTCTGTAGCACAAGAATAATGTGGGTTTTCTGTTCACCCAGAGTCTATTAACTGCGTTTTCTAGAATTCAGCTTAATCATATATACACTGATATATTGGTCATTATCGCGCGCACACAGCCGCGCGCTACTTATTGTCAGTTGCGCACCGTCCGAATATACTAGATGCACTGGGTTGGCCGGTCCTCGGAGTCCTCATAGATTCCCTTTATTAGTTAGTTGATATTGGGAGGAAGGCTGGGCGTACCTCAGCTGTGCTTATCGGAGAAGCTGAAGGGGGAACTGGGACGCTCGCGAAGTCTACGCTATCGTGATGATTATTTTTTTGACAGCATACATATAAGGCTAACCGTTACCCTAGTGACAGACATATACCCCTGGGTAAGCCCCAAAACCAATTAAATTCTTATAAATAATCGGATATCGATATATATCAGAAGTAAATCTTCGCACGGCTTACCGAAAAGCCAGTTCAGGCACTAAGCCTCAGGTTACAACGAGCTTAAGAGTAACCATATAATATGGCAGTTGTCGACCTATTGGGCAGGACTTTGCGTCTCTTTAGATACATTAGTTCGTCGCGCGCTAGCTTTGGTAAATATACAGCCCCAATTTTGTCCTACCAAGTTCGGTTTCCTACATACAGAATATACGTGAGCTTGAACCCCCAGTTTACACAAAGCCAGCTTCTAGAAGCCGTATATGTGTATATCGCACTTATTCTCGCCGAGATAGACATCCGTGCTGTGACAGTGCACTCGATATCGATTTGTACCCCATATATTGTGGTCGATGACTATACACTCGTTTGAACATGTTGAGGTTCACCTTTCCATGGGATATCACTCACCTAGTATAGACCGAGCCTACTCATCCTTATACACCGATCTTACTTTTATTATAGATAGGGTTAATTAACTTTACCTACACTCCAAATCACTACCTGTCTTGCTAATTATAAAACGATCCTTCTATAGTACGCACTGGGTACTGTTTATCGAGTGAGACCAAAGATATCATGGCCTGCGAGATAGGGGACCACTCAAGATGATAATTTCTTGATGGATGTCGTCTTCATGATTTGTGAAGCTCTGAGATTCTTTTTTTTTTGGATGCGTAGCGCCAAGACATAGATATTATAATATGAGGATTATGTATGCCTTCGAAACAAATCTCTAGGACGGCCATCTAGAACAAGCAGAAACCGGGATCATGTAACCCTGATCTTCTTCCCCGAACCCAAAATATTGATATCGACAATCGTCCTACTTGCCTGGTGATAGCTCACAATGAGCTTTATAATTTAGCCTTGTTTAACTGTATATATATATATATATATGGGATGCCGGGAAACTTCGAAGGTAAAGGGGATATCAACGAATCACGAACCCAGCCCTCTAAGGGATCCAAGTATTCTGGAATTTGGGCGTATTCTTTTCCTATCGAAAGATGTCTAGACGTTAGGCTTGTGCGATGACGGAACCCTTCCGAGTGGTAGTCGTAATTGCACGCCAAAAGTGCAGCCTTATAATACGACAATCGTACCGTCGAGAAACAGTGTCTTACAGTCACCAGTACCATGGTTTACCCAGGCTAGATCGTGCAAGCCCTACATGTTCCTGGTGTGAAGGCTTTTTGGCATCTCACTGAGACATAAGTTCGGCCTGGCGATAGGTGTGTAATCTGACATCTGAAGTCCTCAGGTCCTGTTCGCGCAGCAAATATTCAACCAAAGATTGGTCCTGTTATCCTTCTATTAGTTGATCATGAACTTGTGAGCCCAGATCAAGAACTTTCGCTCGCGAGAACTGGATAATTTCTTCCTCCCGTGCGCAACAGGCAGTGCAGCAGTTCTGCTGCCTTAATGTCGGAGCGAAATTTGATGCTCACAACACTCCGTGTACTGAGAATTCTTACGCCGAAATGCATAGCTAATTGTTAGCCTTCGAAGAAGAATTAATATATATTCAATCGTAAAGGACTTGGGAGAACACATCAACAGGCCCTCCCACTGGGATCACCCTATATATATCCAAAATCATTTTTTGGGCTATCACCCATCGACTAGGACATCAAAAACACTCCTTTCCGTATTATATTAGTTTCAGTATCAATAATTTCGAAGATAATTCAAGATACCTTTGGGCTTCCCATTCATTAATCTCTGCCAAAGATTTTGAGCTCTGCAGGCTATGTCTTCAGTCGTCCGCAATATTGCTATTACCTCCCCCGGCTCGTTTGCGAATGTGACCCTCAATGAGGATTGTCACGGCTCCCCCGGCTCGTTTGCGAATGTGACCCTCAATGAGG